TAAAGGTTATTATCTACTATTAACAGAGTTCACAGAGAGTTGGCTATATCTTTTCCAAGTTCAGTACAATTGTCCAATATTGCTGGCTGGAGAGTAAAAAGGTTAAAAGAAGAAGGTACTGAGGAGCTAAAAGTAAGCATATGTTTTATACCCAAAGCATCACTGTATATCAAAGAAGCCTGGCTCTCTGGGGCCAGATGCTGCCTGTGCCTGGCAGACACACGCCCACCCCTGAAGAAACCGCACAGACGTTACAGACAAGGAAATTCTTATCAAGAAAAAGCTCTTGGGGGTGAGATTCCCTTTAAAAATTACCAGACTAATGTGAGCAATAAGGACTAGAAAATGTATAGAAAGAACTTAATAGATTTTTGAGTATGAGGAGTCCTTTGTAAAAACTTTGATCTTGGAATAGAACAAGGATAAAAGCACAAAGACAGGAGAGGGTTTCCAATATGTGGTGTGCACAACAGCAAGACAGCACAGAGAGGATGCTGGACCCCGATGGGCACCATGGGAGCAGGGGCATGTCCTGCACAGCACCCCGTGAGGTAGGAGTTGTCACTGATCCCACTTCACAATGAGAACAGAAGCAAAGAGTGAAGACCTTGACCAAGGTCACACAGGGAGGGGACTGGCAGGAGGACTAGTGTCTGACCATCTATGCTAGGCTCCTGCCTGCTGGGTGAGTTCCCCAGCCTCTCACAAGAAATGTGACCACAGATTTCGTGGGGTGTAGTGAGGACAACACATTAAGTAGCTAACACATAGTAGCCAAACAAAAAGTGTTTTTCATAGTCATAATGATAATAAAAATGATAAATAGGGTTTAAGAAAAGAGACTTCTTAAAGAAAAAAAAAAGTATCTAATCCATTAGCTCATCTGTTGAGGCCCAGTGCCAAAGAGTGTACATCCCTGCAGAAGCAGTGAATTCTAGGGATGAAAACACCATTAAGGTCCCCTGTGCTCACCACCTCTTGGATGGCTGTCTTTCCTGGGCCAGCTCCTCCAAGTGAGGGCACCCTGTCCCCTACAGAACACAGCCCTGGGGACCACCACACCTGCTGCAGGAGGCTTGGGGGGGCACCTAGCCAGTTCCTTGGGATGGGATCCTAAGTGTCTTCACGGTGATCTCTCTGGCCCCAGGTTTCTTGTGATAAGCCTGTGCCTCTTTCACAGAGCAGGGATGAGGCTCAGAGAGAAGGGCTCAGGGAGGGGCTGGTCAGCAGGCTGGGGTCTACCCAGAGGCCACTAAAGTTCCCAGCTCTGCACTCTGAGGAAGAGAGCCCTGGGGTGCCCCCTCACAACTGGGAGAGGGGACCAGAAACAAAGGCCACTGTGTTTAATCCTTTGTCTCTAATGAAAGGAAGTGGGGAAGGGAGTGGGGGAAAGGGAGAGGAGGAAGGAAGAGAAAGAAGGGGGGAGGGAGAGAAGAAGAGAGGGTTGTAAGGAGGGAAGGAGGGACAGAAGCTCAGAGGATCACTCCTAAGTCTGAACTCTGCAGGCACCAGGGTTGAGTGTCCCTAAACTGAATTAAAGTGGCAAGAGGCTGCCTCCTCACTTCCTTCCCATGTCACTCCCTTTGTCCAGTCCCTCGTGGTCCCTGGCCTAGAACTGCTCCTGTGGCAGCTCCTCCACCCACCAACTTCCCCAGGTCCCATAGCTTCTTTGCAACTCACTTGTCACATTGTGGCCAGAGCAGCTATCTAAGACATCAATCTAGCCATGCCAACACTCTGCCTTCTGGGTCCCCCAGCCCTAAGGACAGCGTGGCACATAAGGCTCTTTTGAGGCCTCTCCCATCTCGCTGCGTGACCAGACACACAGAGCGTCTTAGCTCCTTGCTACTCTCCAGGCTCTGGATATGCTCAGAACACTGTCTACCACTGCTGCCCTGGACCTTATGGAAGCTGCTGTCTTGGTCTTCAGTGGTGCAGCGCAAGTGTTCATCTCTGCATCTGTTCCCTCCCCTTAGCCAGATGGCAACTCCAGAGCCCACCACTTAAGTACAACCAAGTCTGTGAAATGTGTGCCACTAACAGGTGAAGACTGGGGCTGGGGCTCTGGCGTCCTACGGCTGCTTATCTTGTAGACACAACGTAGACAAGTGTGTATCCATTGCAAGATCCCCATTTCCTTTAAAACATGTCTACCCAGCCTTCTGTGCTACATATGGGCAATTGATCTAACTATGGATGGGTGTCAAATTAAGCTCAAATATTTTTATGAAGTCTAAATATTTAGAAAATAGTATCAAAATGCATCAGGAAATTATTAGCCAATTCAATCTTTGGTCTTTCCATCTGCTTGGATTCAGGTTTACAATAGCAAAAGTCTGCTATTCATCCCATGCCAGATGTCATTACCAGATGAGAGAGAAAAAGAGGGAAAAGAGAAAGAGTGCTTGGAGGGTGGAAAGAGAAGGGAGATGTCCTTATTATTAATTCTCTCTAACTAAATTTCTGTATCAGGATAATCTCTCATAAACTTTCAATCAGTAAACGTGTAGAGTAGATGTGCCTGGCACATGGTAAGCAATCAATAAATTTTTGTTGCATAAATTATTAAGCAAATATGTAGAAGATAGGGGAGTCAAATGCAAAGGTATTTTCTGTGCATTTTGATAATAGTTTTCAAAGAACATAAGTGTTCTGTTGGCTACTATAATTCCATCAGTAGGCAATATGCACTGGGTAAGGATTGCTGTCTCAAAGGCAAGCTATTGGGGTTCTAGTGTTGGTTCTTCCACATTCCACATGGATCTGAATTGTGATTTGCATTCGCAAGATGAGGTAGTGAAACAGCTGTGGGAGCTGAGCTGCTGAGACATGGGCAACATGGCCCACACAACACCTAGTGGGGGACAGTGTCTGGGAAGTGGCAACTCTGATACTGGCAGGGCACGCCCCTATGCTCAGCACTAATAAGACCTGGAAAGAGGAGGTCCTGATTTCTGTGGGCGTGGGGACACAGGGTCGCAATTTCAACCATCCTGAGCTTCCTGCTTTTATCTGAGCCCAGAGCGAGATCATTCACAAGAATGGATGCCTTCCCACTGGCTACCCCGAGCACAATACCCCTTCCCCTACTGGTGTTGCTGGTGTTGAGCCCAGGTTGCATCAGCCCCATCCAGGCCTGCTTTGCACTGCACAGGGCTCCCTGTGTGAAGCTAAGGCTCCGAGACTCTGGATGACGGGCATCTCCTGCCTCACGTGGAGGCTTCCACAGTCAGAAGATACAGAGCCTCTCCAACCCTCAGCCTGTCAGAAAGACCCAACTGGCTCCTTGGCTCCCACATCACAGCACAGATACCAGGAGGTGAGTGCTAAGTGCTCCTCATCTCCCAGCCTGACAGTATGTAAATTGTTTGCATGGCCCTTCTCCTTGAAGTCTGGGACTTGGGGGTGGGCACTTTGCCAGCAAGCCCACCTGGGTTAGTCCCTGGCTCCACCCCTTACTGGCTGGTCTCATAGGCAAAGTCAGTTCACCAGGCCGAGATCCATTTTCTCCACGAAAACGACAGTGCTGATTGGGGAGATGTGGAAGAATTAAATGAGATGACGACCGCAGCATGCCTGGCATGTAGTGTGAATGAACGCCTGACGTGCTTCTTGCTACATCATTTTACTCATTCAATCAGCAAGAATTGACTATACCCCACTTTGTGCTGAGCTCCGTGGGGAATACAAGAGAAAGACAACTCCCATCATCCCCACCTGTTCACTTCTCTCTGCAGCGCCTGGACTCCACAACAGCCTGCTTCTGCTCACTCTGTGAGTCCCCAAGCACTCTGTTTTTAGTGTCTGGTTTACAAAGCCTTCTATCTACATGTAAAGTGCTTATTTTGTCACAAACTCCTTGGAGACAGTGGATCTACCAGGTCCAAAGTCACTCTAGCTTGAACAAAGGAACTTGCCTCAGGTTCTGGAACCTATGCTCTGTGTAGACTGAGAGTATTTTCAGAATCTAGGAGGCCACCTGGAAGAATCTGAGACCATGCAGTGCAATTTGAGCATCCCCATTCTCACAGAATTCATGCATGACTAAGATAATTAACAGACATTCACATCAGAGCTGCCTTTTTCCGGAAGATGTTCTCTGAGCAAGCCATTCTCTCTTCGGTATCTTTGGGACATTTCCTACCCTTGTCCCTTTGACAAACTTGTATCTACCCAGTAGCCACTCAGATGTCACCTCCTCTGTGAAGCCTTCCTGGACTAATCCCACCCCACAGTTTCTTCTTATAAGGTCACAGCACTTGGCGCAAGGCTCTGTCCTTACCTCCCTGCAGTGTATTTAATTCTCAGATGACACATCTGCTTTCTACTAGATGGGACAACTGCAATGAGACCTTGTCTTTGCATCTCAGCCTCTAAGTGCCTCACAAGATACATGACCCCAGAGTAGGTGCTCTGGAAAGATTGCAGAACAAACAAGCATGGGTATTTTCCAGAGCATTCACTTAGTCAGCTGAGAGTCTACTATGAGCCAGGCAGTGATCTGAAGTTCAGAGCAGGCTCAGTTATTTGTAAAACACTCTTTTATAGCACAGTCCTTCTGAAAACTCTCTCTGTCTTTTCAAAATGGCATCTTTATGCCTCGGTAAGTTGTACAATCCAATTTCAGCTTCTCAGACAATTGCACCCATGTTTTCAGCTGTCAGTCTGTGAACTCCTTGAGCCTGGCACTGATAGGTGGCCATTAGAACCTGTCACTAACATGAATATCAACACTGGCAAGAGACATGTGATCCAAAGACAAGAACACCATCAGCTCTAAGACCTTTCCTCACACCCAATCAATACTTCATTAAGTGGGGCCTTTGAAGCATTAAAGAGGTTAAATGCCAACCCTTTGGTCCATATCACCTTGCCATGACATTCCTGATCTATCTCTGGTTAAAATTCAGGAGCTAAACCCCTCTTGGGTGCTTCTCAGTGGTCAGAGACCCTGGGCCAGGGTGCACCAAGGTTCATGTGGGCCACCATGAAAAGGATATGATTCTCCAGTGGATGTCCAGTTTGCTGTTGATCTCCAGACCTCGGGCTTCCTGCCTCTCTTCTTCCAGCTTCTTTGGATTTGCAAATTGCCCCTTCTCCCCAGGGGATTCTGGGATACTCTCAAAGTTGAACTTATCCACTTGAATAGCCATTCTAAGAGAAGGGGGGAAACACAGCAGAGGATTAATCAGGAGGGCAATTTCTTCTGCTGGCTGTTGCAGAATCAGCACATGCCAGCATGAGATGGTATAATGAGTCATTATCGCTAGTAATTCATAATGGATTCATTCCAAGAAAATGAAATAATAGACTCCCAAGGTGGCTCTGACTTCAAAGCTGGTTCAACACACAGTTTGGAACTGAAGACACAGTCATAGATTCAAATCTCTGAGAAGATGCAAGTTATCCCCCAAGACAAAAATTTCAATTCTGTAACAGGGTAAGGCAGACAACACTCAGTGCACTGCAGACAGTGGGCTGAATTGTGATTTAAGCTCTTTTGTGGACAATCACAGAGAATGCTGGCAATTACCTAAGCCTGGGGATGGACCCCCAAAGTCCCAGGAACTCCCCATTCATCCTCTGACTTCCTCCTGCCACCCTTCCCATGGTGAACTCCTCCAGTCAGGTGGGCTTGCTTACCATGCCCCACCCTCCAGCTGCCCTGGCCCCCGTGCTACCACTCCCAGCTTCCTGTCTCTTGAGCTGCTGCCCATCCTCCCTTCAGGTCTCTGCCTTGGATCACAGCCTCCACAAAACCTCCCCTCTCAGCGCTTGTCCAATTCTCTTACCCTTCTGACAGTTTCTAAAATACACCAAACTCTCCCTGCCTCAGCCTTTACACTCACTGCCCCTCTATGTCTGGAATATTCTTCTCCCGGGCCTTGGCATAGCTGGACGCTTTCCATTTTGAGGCTGGAGCTTGAGAAAGGCCTCCCCAGGCCGCCTTGGCTACAGCAGCATTCTCTCTTCACCCTCCCCCCATTCTCTACTGCAGCATCCAATTTCCTTCTGTCAGAGCATTTATCATAGCTTAACGATTTGGATTTGTTAATTGTCTATCAATTCTACTGGAATTTAGCTCCCTGAGGGCAGAGAGCCTCTTGGTCTTGTTGACCAGTTTCCCCAGCCTAGAATCCCATCTGGCACACTGCAGTGACTCAACACATAATGAGTTGAATCAATGAATGAGTGAATTAAAAACCTTCCCTGATCCTGCAAGTCAGTGTTTACATCTTCCTCCTCATTGCTTGCCCAGACCTCATACCTATAGCAACGTTCCACGCACCCCTGGTTCCCAGCTGAAGAACTTGGTCTGGAAAGTACACCGCCCACATGTCTGAAAGCTCTAATGAACTTCTATAGCCTGTCTCCACTCCAGTCCATAATAATATTCACATAGGTGAGGACTGGGTCTTACTGATATTTGAAACCTTACTTCTCGGCACAAAATAAGGCATACAGAAAGTACTCAGGAAAGGTGCATTACATGAATGGATCAAGGGAGAGAGGAAAGAAAATGAATTTCTGCATGTTAGGCCCCCTAAGTTCTGGCTCCAACTGAAAGGTGACTTATTTGACCAATCTATTAAAGTAGGAGTTTTGTATTATCACATAGACTCTGCAATGTCCAAAATGTTCAGCAAAATCATGCTGTAATTGGCTTTTGTGGCTATTCCCTTTAACAAACAGGAATGAAAGGAAGTGCTGTTAAGGGGGTATAAACACAAGATTAACCCCAAAGAAGAGGTCTCAGTAGCTACAACAGTTTGGGAAGGAACCACTGCAGTGTTAATAAATCTACTGTACTTGGCCCGAGGCGTGACGTGTGGGGCTGAGCTGCGCAAGAGCTTGAGACACTCTCGTCAGCACAGAGGGCAGGAATTTTGTGGCAAAAAATACTTAAAAAAACCCCACACATTTACTGCTCTAGTCTGGTTATCTAAGTAGATAGCTTATTGTAAAAAGTTGGAAAACAGCAAAAAGTATAAAAAAGAAAATAAAAGCACCCAAATCTTAGACTCAAACATTAATATTTTAATTCTACAGCCTTTCCCTAAGTTTTTGTATTTAACATAGTTTAAATCATTATATATGTATATGTATGAATCATTACGTACTGTTATATATATAAATCTATACCTACACATAATTTGGAGTCTTGATTTATTCTCTTAATATACTATGAATATTTTCACATCATTAAAAATTAGTCTGTAAAATATTCTATCATATGGATGTATCATAATCTACATAACTATTCTACTCTCAGATCTTTTCCATTTTTAAAAAATTACTATTGTAAAAAAAGTGGCCTGAGAAACAACTTGGTGCTTAATGTTTTTTTTTTTTTTGTTTTCCTGCACTTATGACTGACTCTTAGGATCTATTTCTAGAACTGGAACCACTGATGTGAGGGAGTGAAATGTTTAAGGCTCAGATACAGAGTACTGAGTTCCTTCTTGGGTTTTTCAGAAGCATGGTCCCTGAACAATGCGGGCAGATGCCGTCTCTCTCTCTCTCTCTCTCTCTCTCTGTCTCTCTCTTTCTTCCTGCACCCTTGTCAATACTGGTGATGATCAATTTTTAATCTTTGCTAGTAATAGGCAAATGCTGCCTCACTGATGTTTTAATTTGCAGGTCTGCATTACCCCTGAGGTTGAACATCTTTTCATGAGCTTATTAACCATGTATCTTTCTTCCCTGTGAGTTATCTACATGTGTAGCAAGAGAGTTTCTAATTTTCTATCCAGCAAAAGCTTTCCTTATTCTCCACCTCAAAGGCAGACTGAAGCAAACTAGCACTCTCTTCAAACAAAAGGTCAGAATATTTCCTACATTTCACTAAAAGGCCAATTTAAGTTCACTGCCTGATAACCCAAAAGGAACTAATAACTTTTACCTTTCAGTTGAGTTTGAAAATAGTCCCTAGCACTAGGCTCTCTCTCTGTTGAACACAAAAGGAAGAAACACTCCAGCAGGCAGCAACCTTAGGGTCAGAGCACCAGGATGCTGCGGTCACTGGAATGACATTTGTATGATTATCTGGGAGTATCTTTCAAACAATTTCTGGTTGAGTAAGCATCATACTATATTATCCACCTTCACCTCCAATCTTAACAACACTGTAGTCAAGTGTGCCCATGAAACTGTAAAGGGAAGAAAAGAAAATGTGAGGAACACTATGCCAAGCCCCATACGGTGTTTTGTACATACACTCTTCGTATTTAACTTATGGTCGGCCCAGGAAAGGCCACAGTTTGCTTTATACTATGGGTGACAGGCTGAAGCTGTAGGCACATATGCTACCTACCTGCCCCACGCCTAGCTCAGAGCCTCTCTAGACTCAGTTCCCTCTGTTTTGTCTTTAGTGTTGGTTCTCCTTTGCCTAGCAGAGTACCTAAAAGGAGATCATTTCTTGCTCATGTTGTTTGCAGAGCTGCATGGGACAGAGACCCAGTGACTGCAGAGTCTGTCCCCACACACCGGTTGCCTGCATGATCAAATTTACAACTGCCTTCTCCCCCAACATCCCTGGGATGGGAACTGCTAGAAGCACCCAAAAGGCAGCATTTCTTTTCCTACAGTGACAAAATTGAGGTACTAAGAAATGGAGTAGCTCACCTAGGGCCACCCAGCTTAAAATCCTATTGCCAGGATTCCAACTCAGATCAGCCCTACTCCAAGTGCCAAAGACTATTTCCCCAAACTACACAGGAGCATTGCCCAGTATCTCCATACTGCTATCCACATCATCCTAGGAACAGCCCCTAAACCTCATTGTTCCTCCCTATCAGAAAGCCTCGACAGCACTAACTTGCAAACTGTAAGAAGTTTTCCTATAGAGGAGACTTTACACCTGAGCTCACCACCTGCCAGAAGACACTGCTGTGTTGTGTACAACAGCCTTAGGGGTCAGCACTGTGGAAGGGGAGACCATCGTCCTGGCTGTCCTAGTAGGTAACTTTGCTCTAAATCCAACTGGAGAGCTAGCAGGACTTTTCATGGCTGAAGTCATTGTGTTTTGAGGCTTGTCAATTTTGTAGACAGCAGAGCTCCTGGTGATGGTGGGCAGCTTGAGAGATGTGTATACAGAGCCAACCACAAGCAGATTGCTGGAGAGCATGCCACAGAGGCAGCCGCTGGGCTGAGAATGACTCGTGGAGAAATGACCCGATGGTTTGGGTAAACCCAGGTGCTGAAAGGTGAAGGACAACTCCAGAGCTACTGAGAAGAGGGGGGCTGAGAGACCATCTACTGTAATCACCCTCCAAAGAGGGCAGGGCTGAGGTGCAATGGGTGGCACCTTGTCCAACACAGTGGGCATCAAGTTGGCCCAGGGTGGAAGATGGAGCTTGGGCTTCAGAGCCCACCACCTGGGCTGGATCCCCAGCTCTGCCCTAACTTAGAGGTGACCTTGGGACAAGGCCCTTCATTTCCCTGAGCATCTCTATGGAATGCAATTGGCACTGCCCAGGCTAGAGGAACAGTTGGGAGGATTCTAATGTTTTTACTGAGTGCTGGGATGGGGTCTACCACAGCCAGTCCTTACTTAAGACCAGCTCAGTACCCTAGACTTGAAAACTACTTTCTCCATTAGCAAGCCACTTTCACAACACCAACAAAGCGATAAAACCGTGATAACAAGTTAACACCATAATGCTTACCATGCTCATGCAGCATCTTAGAGAAAAGCCCACCCATAAGCTAGCACTGACCTCAGCTTGGTGCAGACATTCCCATCTCTCCTCACTCAAGGTTTAAGCTTGAACATGCAGGTAAGATCTTTTATTGGGGTTGGGCAGTACATGTCAAAGAATATTTGTGCAATTCCCCATTAGAAAGTATTTAAAAAGTACCTTTAAAATGTGACGGACATTTCTGACAAAACACAAAAAAATGGCTGGAAAGCATTATCTTTGGGAATAATATAGAAAAGAGAACACATGACTAACAGCAAAGGAATCTTCTTCTTTTGTGCCACAGGTGTGAAAGGAGTGGTCTTTTAGGTGGGCTCCCGAGAGATGGTAGCACAGGACCATTTCCCTTCTGAGTAATGCCTATTTTGCTAGAGTTATTAATGTTCCATTTTTAAATAAAGTTAGGGCCCTATGCAAAGGACAAGGTGTATTGCCCACAGTTAGAATCTGACC